AGAGCGTATGAAAAATAGCAGTGACGAGGTTAGACCATCATGTCCTCTTGAAATCGTTTGATTATATTGCTGTAATTTATTTATAGTTCATTTGTTTTGTTTGTCAAGATTTTCTTGCGAAATCAAGGCTGAGAATTTGAAGATTTTATTGCAATTTTGGGGCTGAAAATGTCCACTGAAACATCTAGGAAATGGTTGTAGTTTTGATTGTCTACGGTAAAATATGCTTAATAGCCATATGAAACATCTAGGAAAGGACTTGAGACTAGGCGTTTAAGTTAAATGTGATTAATTTGAGAATGCATATAAGATGTTTGGTGAAATGTCAAAGAGAAATCTGTGTGTTATGATTGCTACTCTGTGCTCTTCAGCAGCCAGAGATGAGACCAGCTCTTAAAGAAATCACCTCGTCAGTCGACAACAGCGCTCAAGATCACCCTTGGGATTGGCTGAAAATAGACCTATTTCTATTGGAAACTAAATAATCATATTAGAGACAGTGATTTCATCTTCCTTGTACCTGCTTTCTTCCTCTTCTTCTTCTTCTGTTTCCACCCCCCCTTTTGTCTTATGGGTTTTTCTAGCTTTTCTTTTTGTTTTTGTTGTTGGGGTTAATCAGATGTACATATTTAGATGAGAAGCACTAATACTTTCTTTCCAGTCTTGTTTGTGGTGATGGGATGAGTGCAGCTTCATCAGTTTCTTATAATATAACTTGAAATTTTGCAGAGAGGGATAAGATATTAATATACCTCCTTCAATTTTGCATAAAGGGGTGTTTTCCTATCTTCCTTTTTTGCTTGATTCTGCCTTTTTTGCCTTTTTAATTTCTGGTGTTCCAATATATATATATATTTTTTTAAGCTTTAAGTTCTTGAATCTAAGGATGTGATTTTGCTGCGTCCTGATTCTTCCTCCAACCGACAAAACAGAGGTCCTTGATGTTTTCTTTGTTTTTATTTTTTTTGTCCTTTATTGTTGTGGCTGTTTTGCAAAACGTGGAAGTTAAGGCCCCCTCAAGGGTGGGTTTGGCCGGTGCAATTCAATACTAAGAAATGAAAATCAGTAGAAATGATTTGCAGACAATGACTACCCATTTCCTGGAAAACAGTTTTGTCCTTTTTCTCTGGATATTTTTTGATCTTTCATTTTTTATTCCCACTTGAAAAATGAAACACATTAATTGTTAGTTATCATATTGTCCCTGGTTGGCTGGTGCTTAAATTTTAAAAATTAGAAGTCATAAAGCAGACTTTGATTGTTTCTTATTTCTATTAATTTTCGATATGTATAAAAATTACCGCAATTATTTTCTATTAAAATATGCATAAGTATCCGTTAACATTTTTGATGAATGAATTCTGTACTTATTTTCTATTAAAATATGCATAAGTATCCGTTTGTATATCCTCTTTCCTATCCTCTTGCTCTCAATCCAGTGATCGGTAATGGGGTAGGTTGGTACTGATTGAAATAATTTTCTCGCAAAAAGTCTTAAACCAGAATTTTAAAAGGAAACCTAAGGTTTTGATGTTGCCTTGGTCTTTCTTTTGTGTTTTATCCGCTCGAGTTGTTGAGGCCTCCCTCTTTCTATCTCAGTCAAGCCAGATTCTTTGCTCCTGCATGTTCTTGTTTCAGAAACTTTGTTTATCAGGTTGGGTAGTTTAGCTCATGTTCTTGATGCTAGAGGGATGGAATTGTTTTTCTTATCAAAATGGCATGTTGTAGTTCCCTTTTCGTTCATTGTTGTGCGATAGATTTAGGTGATGAATAGCCGAGAGCTACGGAAAGCTTGTAAATGTGATTTTGCAGAGAAAGCTCCTGCTGCATTTTTTTTCTTTTGCTGATTAGTTCCCTTTGTCCTTGACGGTCAGCTCAGATTTTTGCTTTAATCCTGCAACAAAATGTAGCTTTTGATTTAGTTGATAATTGAGAGTTAAGATCCTGGTAGTTGGTGAACATGTCTGCATGCTGAAATGGAAAGAAAGTTGCGGTATGGAAAGTTGCAGAACCTTGCGGATAAGAAATTGCAGAAGCATAAGAAAGCTTCGTAACATGCATGCAACAAATTTCAGAAATTGCATGTTTAACCCTCGAATTTTGGCTTAATGTTACTAAGGCCCATAACAATTAGGAAAATACAATCAATTTTGTCCCTTCAAAATCTGAATTGTTGTTGGCATGCTTTAATATGTTTTTTGGACAGATTTTTCGTGAATTTTAGGATGAAATAGGGAAGGTTTAATAATTTTGAAGAATTTATAGTTTTGATTTTCATTTGATTAATATTTTAGCTAATTTTGTCATTTAATCCTAATAAATCAGTTTCCATTCATCATTTTGTGAAGTTTAGCATTTGATCTTGACAATGCTACAGTGCCTATAGTTATGGTAACGATATTAGGGAAACCTGCTATTATAGGTTTCTATTACCTTTAATGACAGATCAAATTTTTTAGCGACCTTTTTAAATATTATATTAAAGTAATTAATATTAACTTTAGTAAGTTTTTAATTAAAACTAGTAAGTATATGCCTAAAAGATAAGTTTTAGTCAGAAATAGAAATTTACACTTTGAGTAATTTAATTTACTTATTATTTGACAAAATTTACTTATGTTTAAATTAAACTTACTAATACTAAAAGTAAAAAATGTTCATATTTAAGTAAAAAAGTTACCAAATTCTAAAAACGGTTTTGGGTTCCTGAAACACTTTCGGGTATCATCTCTTTAAAGTCATCTGCTTTCTTCTTACTTAGTTCTCAGTTCCAATGATACGATTGAATTCCCAGGCAAAGGTTTCCACTTTGGTCCACACTTTCTCTTGGTTACAATTGAATAAATTTTCTCACTTCAATATTTTCATCTTTAGTTCACACTTTCTGATAGAGTCGTTATTTGGCACGTTTTGCATTGTCATTCTGTCCTAATTTTGGCTATTCATAGTGCTAAGAAAGGGAATTTCACTCATATTTGATATGTGTGTGCATTGTAGGTGGTACGCATGAAAAATGATCTCGCGGGGTGAATTTCCAGAAGACTTCCCGTTCCAAGGCATGGCCACGCCTTGGAAGGTGGACGAAACCGAAAGACGGACCGTGGTCCACGTGAACCCGAAGCGGGGGATCAAAACTCCAAAGGGGATAGCTTTTTGAATTGCTCCAGACGTCTCTTCTTTTGACTTATTGTGGGCGGCGGCTATAAAGGAGGATTCACAAATCATCAAGACGGGAGTTTTTAGTTCTTCTTTTTCTACTTTTTGTCAGACGCTTTCCGTCGTTTCTTTTTGGTTTTTTCTTCGGCAGCAAATTAGATAGCTAGATTGACATTGAATCAAAAACAGTAGCTTTAGTTTTCTCTTTCCCAGGCGCTAGACGTCGCTTTCCTCTTCTGACTTTCAACTCTTCCGCTGGACAATTCATTCGTAGCTTTGGCTTTGTAATTGGGACTCCGAAGCAGGGACGAATGCAGGGCCTTTTCGGTTGTTATTGCAGTTAATTTCCCTTTCCCAATTCCTTGGCAAATAATTGAATGAATTCAATTAAATCACGCGGGATTGAAACGATGAGGAGCGGCTAATTTCCTCCTCTACCCAAAGGTTGACGCGAAGGCGCGGTCCATAATATCTGTGAGATCTAACCGAATCTTCATTATTTCCTCCAATTAATTGCTATTCGTGCGTTTCCTGAATTAATTGTTCATGGGTATTTGATTAATTGAATATCAACGGCCGGGTATTTGATTTAATTTAATAGCCTACTGCCACGTTAATTAAATAGAATCCGTAATTGTTCATTTAGTTAACACCTCGTGGCAACCACCATAATTGGTTTTATGATGGGGAAATGCAAGATCTAATTTAAATAAACCCTCTTAGCGTGTTTATTGGTTAGGATTGGGTTTTTCTAGCTTTAATGCAATTGGGTAATTAAATTCCTACGGTCGTACCTAGGGTTGTTATCCGGTTAGAGAAGCAGTCAATGGTCGTACCTTGACTGTCGAAAAAGTAAGGAAGAGCTGGTTGTCAGAGCTTATTGATGGCTATAACCAACCTAGTGATAAATGGGTGAAATATCTTTGCATCGATGAGCATTTAATTGGACCGTGCCTGAGCAGTTGATCCTTTGGGTAGAACTTTTGTTAATTGCTATTTTAAGTGAATTGTGCTTTGTGAGTTAGTTTTGGATTTTGTTTGTTTTATTTTATTTTATTTGTGTGCCTCCCATTGAAAATCCCCCAATTCTGTTCTACTGATTTGGAAGGAAATAATTTCCTACCTGCTCCCTGTGGATTCGACCCTACTCACCGCTATATACAAAATTTGTAATTTTCTTGAGTAGGTATTTATTATTGTACAGGTTCGGCACCTGTCAATTTTTGGCGCCGTTGCCGGGGAGCTGGCATTTGGATTATTTGTTTCTTTTCAAATTCAGTTTTTGTTTTATTTTTATTTTATTCTGTTCTTCTTGGTATTTTTGCTAGTTTATGCCCCGTTCTTCTCGCACAGGTGAATTAGTATACGATCCTGAGGTTGAGAAGGCAGCGCGTAGGCGGAGGCAAGAGACCAAGAAGCGAAAAGAAGGGCCCTTATTTATTGCAAACGAGTCGGTAGAAGACGAAGTAAGCATGGCCAACACTCAAACATTAAGGGAGCTGGCTGCCCCGGAGCTGACTCACCAGCCCTTATGCATCACATTCCCCACTCTGGCTGAGAATACTGCTTTCGAACTGAAGTCGGGGCTGATTCACCTCTTACCTTCTTTCCATGGTCTCTCTGGTGAAGAACCCCACAAGCACGTTAAGGAGTTCGAGGTGGTTTGCTCTAGTATGAAACCTCCTGGGGTCACTGAAGAGCAAATTAGACTGAGAGCCTTTCCGTTCTCTCTCAAGGATGCAGCTAAAGATTGGCTGTATTACCTACCAGCAGGTAGCATTACCACATGGGCACAGTTGAAAAAGAAGTTTTTGGAGAAATTCTTCCCTGCATCCAGGGCTGCGAGTTTGAGAAAGGAAATCTGCAGCATTAAACAGTATCCCGGGGAGTCCTTGTATGACTATTGGGAAAGGTTTAACAAATTGTGCACTAGATGCCCACAGCATCAAATTAGTGAACAACTGTTAATCCAATATTTCTATGAAGGACTCCAATCAACTGATAGGAGTATCATCGACGCTGCGAGTGGGGGAGCACTGGCAAATAAGACCCCGAGGGAAGCATGGCTGCTCATTGAAGCTATGGCAGAGAATTCTCAACAGTTTGGCTTCCGTGAGAGTAACCCTACCCGCAGGGTTAATGAGGTGGAGTCGACATCTATTCAGCAACAGTTGTCGGAGCTCACATCCGTTGTTCGACAATTAGCTGTGGGGAATGTGCCCCAAGTAAAGGCCTGTGGAATCTGTACAAATATGGGTCACCCTACTGACTCATGCCCTATATTGCAAGAGAATGGGGCGGAACAAGTGAACATGGCCGGAGGCGTGCCCGCGCCTCATAGGCAATACGATACATACTCCAACACGTACAATCCGGGTTGGAGAGATCATCCCAATTTCAGCTATGGAAATAGGCCACAAAATGCACTCTCCAATCGTCCACCAGGATTTCAGCAACCATGGCAACCGAAACCGCAACCCTCATCCTCCAACTCGGGAAGTTCCTTGGAGGATATTGTCAAGAGTCTGGCTACGACTACCGCCCAGCTCCAGCAAGAGACCAGGTCATTGACCACAAATATGGCTCAACTCCAGCAAGAAACTAGAGCCTTAACCATGAGCACCACTCAGTTCCAGCAGGACACAAAAGCAGGCATGAAGGATATGGAGGCTCGAATAAGCCAAATGGCAACTGCCATCAATCGCTTGGAGTCCCACGCTTATGGAAAGTTACCCTCACAACCTGAAGTAAATCCCAGGAATGTAAGTGCCATGACGCTGAGGAGTGGCAAGGAACTGGAAGGGCCTAAAGTGGAAAGTTCAAAAAGCAAAAGTGAAGAGGAGATAGAGAAGGAAATTGAAGAGGAAGGGCGTATTCGCAAGGATCCTAAGGTAACCTTCACTTCTCCGCCCACTATTAAATCTAACTTACCTCCTTTTCCTTGCAGGTTGGAAAAGACAAAGAGGGCAGAGAAGGAAAAAGAAATCCTGGATGTGTTCCGCAAAGTTCAAGTAAACATCCCCTTATTGGACGCGATCAAGCAGGTACTCAAGTATGCAAAGTTCTTGAAAGACTTGTGCGTTAACAAAAGAAAGCTAAGGGGTGATGAAAGAGTGATGGTGGGAGAGAATGTATCAGCTGTACTTCAAAGGAAACTCCCACCCAAATGCGGAGATCCAGGTATGTTTGCTATCCCCTGTAAGATTGGTCATTCTAGTATAAAAAATGCCATGATAGATTTAGGAGCTTCTATTAATGTGATGCCTAAATCAATCTATGATTCCCTAAATTTAGGACCTTTAAAAGAAACAGGGATAATAATTCAATTGGCTGATCGTACATGTGCTTATCCGGATGGGATAGTTGAGGATGTTTTAGTGCAAGTAGATGGATTAATTTTTCCTGCTGATTTTTATGTACTTTACATGGATGATAGAAGTGCCTCAAATCCATCACCCATTATATTAGGAAGACCATTTTTGAGTACTGCCCAGACTAAAATTGACGTTAGTAAGGGTACTCTCACGATGGAATTTGATGGAGAAATAGTCCACTTTAATATTTTTGATACAATGAAACATCCTGTTAACTCTCATTCTGTGTTTGCTATGTATACCACTAATCCCTCTGTGCAAGAATTTTCTAAATTTGCTTATAGGGGTAAATCCAAGGTTGCTGCGAACAAGTCCTATAGGGTGAAAGCAATTCATGAGGTAAAAATGGAGAGAAAATTTAGGAAAAAAGTTGCACTCAATGGCCATGTGGATCCTGGAGGAGGGCCACCAATTACAAGGAAAATTCAATTACATCCAGACTGAAGAGTGGTGCTGTGTCTAGCCAAAGACGTTAAAGAAAGGCGCTGCTTGGGAGGCAACCCAAGGATTACAATATTAGTTGTGATCATTTTTCCTTACTTTATGATTTTTCAGTTTTATTTTAATGTTTTGATGGTTTTTGTAGTGTTGGACAGAAGAGTAGGGGTTCCAAGGCGTGCCCACGCTTTAGAAAGAAAAAAAAAAAAAAAATTTCGTGTGGACATCATTTGGATGTTGTGGGCAGAAGAGTATGCTCTCCAAGGCGTGCCCACGCCTTCCAAACCCTCAGATAGCGAAAAAAAAAAAAAAAAAAAAGTTTGACCAAGACCCTACTCCTTCCACTTTCCCTTCTTCTTTGACTAGTCTTGGACAATCTTCTCCAAATTTCTATTACCTACGTTTCCAGACTTTTCTCCTTTGTTTTGGTCAAGCCCGCCGCCGCCGCTCAAATCAACCTTGCGCGACCCACCAGATCTGGTCGCCCACGGCTTAGCAGCACCGCGCGCGACCCCTTCTGCTACTCGCGCAACCTCGCGGCACCAGCAGCTCACGCGACTAGCACCGCGCGCTCCAGCGCGCCTCGCCAGCACCACTCAGCGCGCGCGGCTACCAGCTCTGCGCGCAGCCTTTCTCCTCAGGCGCGCCATCAGCTCACGCGACGCCCAGCAGGCCTACCAGCTGCCCACCGCGTGCGAACCTTGTCGTGCGCGCGCAGCATCCAGCAGCAGAACCCAGCGCGCGACTCCGCCCGCGCCCCACCGCTTGCCCCATCTCGCATCCGCGGGCGCGACAGGCGCGCCCAGGTCTTGCAAGTAGCCCGCGCTCCTGCTCCTCCTGGCAGCCTGCGCGCGACCCAGCAGCATATCTGCCAGCATCCTGCAGTGCGCAGGCTCGCACATCGCATCTCCAGTCAAGCACCAGCAGCCCGCACGCCTTTTGCCTGCTGCCTACCCGCACGCCCAGCCACCCTCCCGTCGTGCGTCCCTCTCCTTTGTTGAGAGCAGAAATTGGTACCTCTGTCCTATTTTATTGCTGCCACTAGTCTTTGAATTTGGGGTCCGTCCTCCTCTCATCCTCCTCCTGCTGGGGACCCCCGCTACCCGGATCTCCAAGAGGCTGTCCATGAGCTTAACACCCAACTGTCAAGGATAGATGGCCGTCTTACGGCGCTCCAGGTTTTTGCCCGTATTCCAACAGAGAATCAGGCGGCCTTCTTCACTCACATTGGATTCACCCCGCCTCACCCCCCCTCCGCCTTAGTATCTCATTTTCCCCCCCCCCCCGGAGCCAGGGAAGTTTCTCTTCTTTCCTCCTATTACTTTATTTTGTCTCTTCTACATTGAGGACAATGTAGGTCTTAGGTGTGGGGGGAGTGGCTTCCATTAGTTCTGTTTTTTTCATTAGTTCTTTTTGCTTTGATTACTCAAAAAAAAAAAAATATAACATGGGATGAATGAAAAAAAAAATGAAAAAATTATTGTAGTTAGTCGTCTTTTTGGTTATTTTTATGCTTGTTAGTGTTGGGGCATATTGCTGTGATGAATGACATAATCAAAGTGAGTGGGTATGTGGTCGTATATGCTAGCCGTGCATTTTGTTTCCCTTGGCAATGTCATCGAATGTTGAGTATACTGGAATTCACCCATTTTTGTAACTCTTGGGGAGCTTTTGAGCCTTACTTGAGCATATTATTCTTGTTTGCTCTATTTTGTTTGATTAAGTGGGTATCGTACATGGTTTGAACATTCTAGAACTTGCTATTTTGTACATGTCAAGACCGCATTTTGATGAACTGGATACATTTGAAATGATAAGGGCATTTAGGATTTAACCCTCTTCAGCTATCTAAAAAAATCAAGCCCTCATTTTATATCCCAATAGTGAACCAACTTGAGCTTTTGTCCTTCGTTTCTGGTTGATATCCGTGTTTGTTAACCCAAGACCTCTTTAAACTTTCTTGTTTACCCCTGTGTTGTCAAGGGATGCCTGAATTCCATCATTTGTGCAAAGCAAACAGAAATAGGATTGCAAGTGCTGATAGATTAGGAGCTATATGACGCTACCCTTGTGTAAAGAAGGGGAAATTGGGAAAAAGGCCACTGACCAGAAGACTTTGGCTTACAAGGCGTGCCCACGCCTTACAGGACTTTCTCCTAAAAAAAAAAAAAAAAAAATTTCCCTGAAGAGACCTCATGGGCTACGAGGCGTGCCCACGCCTTGCGAGCAGTATTAAAAAAAAAAAAAAAAAAAGAGAGAAAGAGAAAAATTGGAGGCACTTGTACAATGGGCACAGCAAATGAAAACTGCCTTGTTTGTGAAACCCCTCTTGTAAGGCACTGTGGTTATTGGTGAGTTTCGGACATTCTCTTGACACTTTACCCCCTATCTATACTTTCTAAACCCGCCTTTCACCTGAGCCTCATTACAACCCTATTAAAGTCCCTTTGATTTATGTGTTTAGTTCACTTTTAAGGGGTGGAGATGTGATAAATGTGCAAGCCTATGGTAATGGCATTCCGTGATGTTGAATTGAGCGTTCTTAGTATTCGTATATACTCTTTGAATTACAACATGTCCGGTGTGTTCTACTTTTGGTGATATTGTCAGGGACCCTAGATGCTTGTGTTAGTATAGACTGCTACATGACCTCTGCTCTCTTGGTTGTACTTCTGAGCTCCGAAATGCTTGAGGGCAAGCATTGTCTAGGTGTGGGGGGATTTGATAGAGTCGTTATTTGGCACGTTTTGCATTGTCATTCTGTCCTAATTTTGGCTATTCATGGTGCTAAGAAAGGGAATTTCACTCATATTTGATATGTGTGTGCATTGTAGGTGGTACGCATGAAAAATGATCTCGCGGGGTGAATTTCCAGAAGACTTCCCGTTCCAAAGCATGGCCACGCCTTGGAAGGTGGACGAAACCGAAAGACGGACCGTGGTCCACGTGAACCCGAAGCGGGGGATCAAAACTCCAAAGGGGATAGCTTTTTGAATTGCTCCAGACATCTCTTCTTTTGACTTATTGTGGGCGGCGGCTATAAAGGAGGATTCACAAATCATCAAGACGGGAGTTTTTAGTTCTTCTTTTTCTACTTTTTGTCAGACGCTTTCCGTCGTTTCTTTTTGGTTTTTTCTTCGGCAGCAAATTAGATAGTTAGATTGACATTGAATAAAACAGTAGCTTTAGTTTTCTCTTTCCCAGGCGCTAGACGTCGCTTTCCTCTTCTGACTTTCAACTCTTCCGCTGGACAATTCATTCGTAGCTTTGGCTTTGTAATTGGGACTCCGAAGCAGGGACGAAGGCAGGGCCTTTTCGGTTGTTATTGCAGTTAATTTCCCTTTCCCAATTCCTTGGCAAATAATTGAATGAATTCAATTAAATCACGCGGGATTGAAACGATGAGGAGCGGCTAATTTCCTCCTCTACCCAAAGGTTGACGCGAAGGCGCGGTCCATAATATCTGTGAGATCTAACCGAATCTTCATTATTTCCTCCAATTAATTGCTATTCGTGCGTTTCCTGAATTAATTGTTCATGGGTATTTGATTAATTGAATATCAACGGCCGGGTATTTGATTTAATTTAATAGCCTACTGCCACGTTAATTAAATAGAATCCGTAATTGTTCATTTAGTTAACACCTCGTGGCAACCACCATAATTGGTTTTATGATGGGGAAATGCAAGATCTAATTTAAATAAACCCTCTTAGCGTGTTTATTGGTTAGGATTGGGTTTTTCTAGCTTTAATGCAATTGGGTAATTAAATTCCTACGGTCGTACCTAGGGTTGTTATCCGGTTAGAGAAGCAGTCAATGGTCGTACCTTGACTGTCGAAAAAGTAAGGAAGAGCTGGTTGTCAGAGCTTATTGATGGCTATAACCAACCTAGTGATAAATGGGTGAAATATCTTTGCATCGATGAGCATTTAATTGGACCGTGCCTGAACAGTTGATCCTTTGGGTAGAACTTTTGTTAATTGCTATTTTAAGTGAATTGTGCTTTGTGAGTTAGTTTTGGATTTTGTTTGTTTTATTTTATTTTATTTGTGTGCCTCCCATTGAAAATCCCCCAATTCTGTTCTACTGATTTGGAAGGAAATAATTTCCTACCTGCTCCCTGTGGATTCGACCCTACTCATCGCTATATACAAAATTTGTAATTTTCTTGAGTAGGTATTTATTATTGTACAGGTTCGGCACCTGTAAAAAATGTTCATATTTAAGTAAAAAAGTTACCAAATTCTAAAAACGGTTTTGGGTTCCTGAAACACTTTCGGGTATCATCTCTTTAAAGTCATCTGCTTTCTTCTTACTTAGTTCTCAGTTCCAATGATACGATTGAATTCCCAGGCAAAGGTTTCCACTTTGGTCCACACTTTCTCTTGGTTACAATTGAATAAATTTTCTCACTTCAATATTTTCATCTTTAGTTCACACTTTCCCTCTATCCTTTCTCATCGATCGGCCATATGCAGACACAATAAAAGGGTTAGCGACGGTGGTAGCCAACCAAAGAGCATATGAAAAATAGCAGTGACGAGGTTAGACCATCATGTCTTCTTGAAATCGTTTGATTATATTGCTGTAATTTATTTATAGTTCATTTGTTTTGTTTGTCAAGATTTTCTTGCGAAATCAGGGCTGAGAATTTGAAGATTTTATTGCAATTTTGGGGCTGAAAATGTCCACCGAAACATCTAGGAAATGGTTGTAGTTTTGATTGTCTACCGGTGAAATATGCTTAATAGCCATATGAAACATCTAGGAAAGGACTTGAGACTAGGCGTTTAAGTTAAATGTGATTAATTTGTGAATGCATATAAGATGTTTGGTGAAATGTCAAAGAGAAATCTGTGTGTTATGATTGCTACTCTGTGCGGGTGAGAAAATTAAAAGTTCTAATTGCCAAATGGACTGTTACTATACTCACTCAATTATTTTTGAATCTAGATAGTATTTTTCTCCTTCCCCTCTTAAATTCTAGTCGTTCTAAAGCAATTATGCAATTTAACATTACTTTCAGCAATCTTTGAGTACGGGTTGCGTAGGATTCCAATCTTTGGGTATGATCAACTTGAGTATAGATTGCGTAGGTGTCCAAAGTTGTAATATTTTCATATGTACTGCAAAGAATTTAAGTAAAAATCTCATAAAACATACATCAACACAAACATTGACATGATAGTTTCTTTGACTAACACGATAGCTTCTTTGACATGATAGCTTCCAGGATCACGTTGAAAATGGAAGAAATGACAGTTCATATAAATGAGCTAGTAGAGTTATCTAACAAATCGGCCAAGCTTGGTGGTGGTATAAGTTGGAGAACCATTGTTGATCGGCTTGACAAATTATCTTCTTATGAAATTCAACTATTAACATTTGATTCCATTGAAGATGCCAGAGAATTTTACCTATGTCATAGCAAAATGGTCGGTTTTGGTCTAAGAGAACGTGATGAAAAGAAAGATCAGAAAGGTATTGTGACATACAAACGGTGGGTATGCAACAGAGAGGGCTTTAGAAATAGCAAATGGTTAAATTTAGTAGACCGTAAGAAAAAGGCAAAACGTCTTACGAGAGTTGGTTGTCTGGCAACTATAATTGTGCAATGGAACAAGGATATTCAGAAGTTTACAATTAAACGGTTTAATATGGATCACAATCACCAATTGGCAAATCAAGAATTTGTACAATTTCTTCGATCACATAGGAGTGTCAACCCAGCAGACTTGGAGCATGTTATTTTGATGCATGGAGTTGGTATTCGAATTCCTCAAATAGTGGACCTTCAAGCTTACCAAGCTGGGGGCCACAACAAGATGGGATACACAGAAAAGGATCTACGAAATGCTGTTGACCAATTCCATAGGAATGCTCTTGAAGTTGGTGATGCCTCTCAGGTGTTGGCATATTTGGATGGTCGAGCAAATGGTGAGCCGAATTTCTTTTACAAGTATGCTGTTGACGTGGAGAAGCGATTGATACGACTGTTTTGGACAAATTCTCAATCTCGTTTGGATTACCAATATTTTGGTGATGTTCTTGTTTTTTACTCCACATACCGCACTAATGCTTATAGGAAGCCACTAGTAATTTTGGCCGGTGTAAATCATCACTCTGTTACCACAATTTTTGGCTGTGCATTAATTGCTGATGAGACCGAGGACACATATAAGTGGGTATTAGAAACATTTTTGGAGGCCATGGAAAAAAAGGCACCTATCTCAGTTGTCACTGATGGGGATGGTGCAATGAGAAATGCAATAAAGGCAGTCATTCCTTATGCCCGTCACCGATTATGTGCTTGGCATTTAAAAAGAAATGTTGTTACCAATACAAATAAGGGGTTCGTTCTTGATTTTGGTGTGGCTATGGACATGATTTGCAGCCATGAGGAGTTTGAGAGAAGGTGGCATTTGCTAGTTGAGAAACACAATTTGAGAGATAACCAATGGGTTGTGGATTTATACAACAAAAGGGAAAAATGGGCCGCTGCATTTTTGAGAGGACACTTTTTTGCTGGTTGAAATCAACCCAAAGATCAGAGCAATTGAATGCTACGGCGCACAAGTACCTTCAATTCAAAATGCTACTTTATCCGTTTGCTCAACGATTTGAGCTATTTTTATCAAAAGTGAGACAGAATGAACACAAGGAAGAATGTATCACGGGTCAGTCATCTCCTGTTCTAATTACTCATTTGAGAGAATTGGAAGGAAATGCTGCAAGCATTTTCACTAGAAAGATTTTTTTAAAGGTTCGTGATGAAATTTCTGCTGAAGCCTCACTCCGCCTCGTTTCAGTTGTTGATCAAGATAAGGTAAAGTTATATACATTCACTGAGTACTTGCATCAAATTTCCTCTTGGCAAGTGGAATTGGATAAAGCTGAACGGACTATTATTTGTTCATGTAAGAAACTTGAGTCAGATGGAATTCCTTGTTCCCATGCGTTTGCAGTTATGAAAAATGAGGATATGGACGAGATTCCTAAATCATGCATTCTGTTTAGATGGACTCAGCAAGCAAAGCCAGGCGAAAAAAACATATATTCTATTCAACTTGAAGATTCAGCAATTCAAGCAGCACGTTTTGGTGCTTTATGTGCATTAAGTAATCAGATGTGTTTTTATGCAGTTAAGACAAAGCAAGGATATGATGAAGCTAGAGAGTGCATTATAAATTCAGCATCTCGTTTCAAAAATCTTTGGGTGAATGATGCGCCTCTAGTGCATAAAGTTAAAAAAAAGGATAATATGATGGATGGGTCCACAAAGAGGAGTGATTTTGATGTTCGTGATCCAATTGTTGTTGCTACAAAGGGACAAAAGGCAAAACATTCCACTCACAAGCGAAAGCGACGACAATGCAAAAATTGCAAGTAATCATCTACTCATAAATTTGACTTATTCTATGGTTACAATAGTTATATATGTACACTTCATATACTCATTGGCTTGATGTTAGAAGGCCAAAAATGTTAGCTATATATGTACACTTCATATACTCCTTTATAAATTCAATCTTTATATTTATGGCTTGTGCTTGGCAATTTTTCTTTTTTGCAGGTCATTTGGACATGATAGACGAAAGTGTACTAAAGTGTGCACAGATGCATACGAAACTCACAATTATGATCATGTTGGAGCCCCCAATTATGTTGACAATGTAAATTCGAACCGGATAGGATCATCCTATGGCTATTTGCAATCAGATTCACAGCGTGGATGCAATAAGGGGTTAATGGATAGTAATTGGTTTCAGATCATTCCTCCTGGTCAGGTAATGTATAGCTTGCTTTTATTTTTGTGTGAAGACATGAAATATAATTGTGCTGTATTTGCATTTGTATAGGCATTAATGTGGGCATGCAATCCTTCATTAATCCAAAGTCATGTACGAAACACTAGCTTGTTAGGTGACGAAAATGTTCAGGTACATTTTTCCTTCTTCACCCCTAAGTTTTATGTTACTTATTTGCTATGATTATGTGTTGTTATGGCCTTTTTAATACAAATCTTGTGATGGTTTTGTAGTGAATGAACCAGATTTCAGCCAAGACAATTAAGGAATTTTATTCTTGAGAAGGTACAAATTTTTGAGTTCGTCTTTGCTCAAAAATTTTTGGATGATTTAAGTTTCTTCGAAGGTAGTTTAATGCGTTTTGATTGTACATCTGAACATAATCTCCTTAGCTTGCAATTTCTGGTATTTACTAATTTTAATGTGAATAATTTCAGCTTTCTTGGAAAAAAGTTTGGTGAATAATGGCGTTCAATTTCAAGAATTGGCATTTCAGAACATTCAATTTTTCTAAGTTTCAATTGGAAGTTAAACATTGTTGATGGGAGTTCTGCTCATAATTGTTGAAGTATGTTATTTTCTTTTCAAAACTGTTATGCTTACTTACTAAATAACACAATTATGAGCACTTGCTGTTTATGTTGAAAAGGCATTTTGATGTATTGCACACAAATGATATCAAGATACAGAGAAAAACCTAAAATGAAATAAATCACTTGATCAAATTCTGATACTTTCATAGTTTCCATCATTTTAGTCACCTCAGATATTGTTAGCATCCAAGTGCTCTTGGGTTTGTAATTTAGAAATTTCAATTCAACAATTAATGCTTTTATTGTGATATCAGAGCTCTTGACACTGGTGATCATGTTCTCAAATTAAGTTACTAGCCTTTTGATTGGTTCAGTTTTTTGAACCCAAAGTCTTTGTGCTCTAAATTCAGTTCTACTCCATGTAATCTTGTCATGCTTAGATATCTATATCTAGTCTCCTGCTAGCTTAATTTTGGTGCGTAAGTATCAGTTATTAAAGGTCGGTAAATGATATTAAATCTCAGGTTGCTATTTTTGTTAGTGGTTAAACATTCAAACTGTATGCATGAACCTGGACAAGCAATAGCGACATAAGCCAATGTAAGCATCAAATGATTGATTTTCCTGATGATGATATGCTCTGATTCTTTGCAGGCCGTTGCTTCTTCCAGATTAATCTAGTTGCTGCAAATGAGGTTCATTATAATTAGGCTGGAATTCCGATGTTTAAGGTCTTAGGTGGAAGAACACGTTGCATACGAAACTTTAAATCCAGCATTGCATTTCACTGTAAGGAGGTGAAATTCTAAGAAATAAGCATGACATGAAGTGCTGCGATTCGTTTTTTGCTCTGTTAACCAAGTGCCTGTGCGTTTATGTGCTTTGCTTGTCTCCATAAAGCAGGAACTTTCGAAACTCTGCAGCTTTCGAAATGAGTTTTGGAGTTTGAAACCAAGCATATGGTTTGGATGCTTTTTGTGTTCCTGTTCAAGTGGATGCCCTTACCACATTAATGGCGGTGTAACATCCATTCTGTTGTAGGAGCACGTACGCTTATTTATTTCTGCGAGCATTAGAAGTTTTTACTCCTAAACGAGTGTAACTTTTTGACCCAAAAAAAAAAGTGTGGTGCTTTCCTATATATGCTAACGGCACTTTTATGAGAGAGCATCGGCCTTTGTGAATTTAAGTGCCGCGATTTCCTCAGTGCGCCATTAGCAAAAGTCCAAACAAATAGTATCTTCCAACTTCATCTACGAATAGACAACTAATCGTGTTAGTCTCGCAGCAAATTAATGTTTGTCATATGCACTCAGGAGAATACCGCTTCTCTCTTCAAATATAAATCACATTTAGTAAGTTAGGAGAATATTCTATCTTCTGATTCCCAGCTTGAAGTTTATTATTTTTCTTATGAATAAGGATTAATTCAAACAAACAGCTCAATAAGATACTGCTCCGTCTATGCACTTGCTGAAATTCTGGCAGGCATAGGTATCCAAATTGTAGATGAGCAATTTCACACGGCTCGTTCCCAATAGTCCACCCAAGCGCTACAGGGTTTTGAGCATTTTGAGCTTACAACCAAGTAGTAGTTCTTTGACTGAAGTCCATGGCAACTTTGCGTACACGTCAAGATTAAGGGACCATAAAATAAAGTGACAACAAGACTTGAAACGTTTTTCTGCCTTATAAAGTACTTGTTATTCAACTAAACATAGCAAAGATAACTTAGAATTTTTGCCAACTATGAATGCTTTTATTGCTCATCTTCTCTGCAAATGATCTTGTAGAAGAAATCCCCATGCATTCTTACGGTGTAGGACCAATTCCATTGCAATGTCAAAACATTCAGTCTCGGATTGAAACTGAAAATTCATGACACCATAATAGAATTACTGAGTTAACCATGCAAGTAAAGATAACAGTTACAATGACATTTAAAATTATTCACCACAAAAAACTCATATTAAATTACAAAACTGTACCATGATTGAACTCATTTGTTCCACTTCAGATGACTTCACGAAATTAAAAACATATACACCACAATCATAGCTGCATGTAAATCAATCATCACAATAAAGAAAGAAGAGATTCCAATGCACTGCACAATAGCATAATTAATGAAAGTTACCCATTCGGTTGTTTAGGAATGTTAGGAGATTCGCCAAATTCAAATAACGATGCCTGAAACTTGTACTTATCCCCAAATTTATGTCGTAGTATAGTATCAAGCTCTTGCACCTATTATCCAAAAATAAAAGCCCAATTGTAACACAAAATGTCCATATCATTATTTGCTACACAACTTAAAAGGATACTTACTAATTTCCTAACCACAACACCTCATTGCTTTGTTGAATTAGGCAACGAATCCAGTATGTACACTTTCTTTTTAACAAAGTCAACTAGTGTGCAATACCAATGTGGGTTATCTTCATTTATTGGCACAAATATCTGCAAGAACGTGTAATTACTTAATAAAAATTAGTTTAAACGCCAAAAAAAATGCTAAGATTTTAAACATTATTTTACGAACCTTCTCACACATCTCAATGTTTCCTCCATATCTATCAGCATCAAAATATATTGAAATAGTTGTAAGGTCAGGTTCGGCATTTTGTAATTTGCATTGCACAATTTTACATGTTAAATTACAAAATTATCAAAAACATATGAATTAATGACAAATATAATCCATTAATGATATGTCAACCTACCGTGAAGAAAGTTGGCATGTACCATGTGTTATATGTTTGATCGTGATGGTCCTCTTCAAAGTCTATCCGAAGCATGTTTGCAACAAGATTGATTGGCTGCAAGCATATTACCATTCACCTTTACCCCGTACAATCAACATATGTTGGATAGTATATCTACCTTAAAAAATCAGGTTTTTAAGTATTACAAAACTCACACTTTCAGTAAGCCAGGTTCTCGATTTCAAGCATGCCAGATCCCTTCTTGAGGCAAACTCTTGTCCAATATGCACAATTGGTTCGCTGCAAATAATTGTTAATTGAGTCTACAATTAATAACAATGATATATGTATGAATAGTTGTTATGAAAAATCCATTATTATCCTTAAATATATTACTGCTGATTATATTTTTCATTAAATATGTAGTCCAGGATTCGCGCTTTATCATTGGAAAACTGCTGCAATATATACTCTTCGTCTAACATTCTTTCTTGCCCTGCAAGCTGTTTAATGAACCATATGAAACGTAAAATTTATGTCAAATATGTATCATAAAGATGTAATATGTTAAATGTATCATTTGAAATGAAACAACCATATTGCATACCTTGTCTTCAATCGGCAAATAATTTTTGAACTCTGACTGTTTATTGAGTTTCCTTTTCTTAGTTCTGTTATTGCTAAGACTTGAATCTGTGTTCTCCATATCATTGGCATTATGTTTGATACCTATATCATCACTTAGTTCCATAAGAGAGGCAAAACTTGAATCTGCTCTTATTTCCTATTCTTCACACGTAGTGGAAGAGTCTCCCATATCAACTAGTTCCTTTTTATCGCCATCAGAATAATCCCTCAAATGATCAAACAAGTCATCAAGTCGGAGGTTTTTATTGCTTTGCACAATCTGCGAGTCAACAAGGGTGTTGTGATTTTTCCTAACCATTCGCATCACTCCTTTTCGAAAGTCTTTTAACACACCATATTTATCTGGAGGGAACCCTAAAGGTGGCACCTTATAATGATTAGGACCAAATAGTGTGTCAAGCGATTCTTCTTTATGTGCAACAGGTGAGCGATGGATTTTCGGATCAATTTCTTCATCCTCAGGATCGCCTTTTTTTTTTTAATGCTAGAGTGACTAGCACAAGTCTGCCTTTCATTGCAATATTCTATATTTTGCAAGTCATCCTTATTATGCAATGATGTCTCCTTCTTAAATTGACCAGATTGCACATGCGAGTCATTTTGCATCGCAATCATAGTAGACAAATCATATACCACCGTTGCAAGACTATCAAGTTTGTCGTTAATCTTCTCCAATGTGTCAGCAACCTTATCAAATTTTTTAGAATAATGTTTATCCAAAATGGGCATAATATCTGCTATGTAATCCATTGGAGATGGAATAGATGTGTTGCTGTCATCGACCATAACTTGAATCTATACATGTTAAATTAAAGCAGATTATCATTACCAACTTATTCATTTATGAAATTATCATTTCTAGCAAATGCTAATATAGGCATGAAAACATAAAACAAGAATGAACAAACAAAAAATATAAGGATATGGGGAACTATAAATTCAGCATTTTATAATTAATTTTAGCAGGAAAACTACATAATCAAACATATGTAAAGTTATTTAAGTATATATACACTTAATTTGTACCTTATCTAGGCCATAAATTCCGTAGTACGAAGCAAGTGAATAAACCTTCAGTTTTACATCTTCATCACTCCAAAATTTAACACGAGGACGTGACTTGTTTGCAAAGGGTTCAAATATCAATCCTTGCGGAGTGACACGATCCAAATAAAAGAGCTTCACAAGTGAAAAAATGCAAAATAACATTAAGAACATGTAGTAATACGATTGCACATGAGATAAGTTGAAAAATGCTCACCATAAGAAAATAAATACAGCCACGCAACCCAAGCTGATTCTTTTCACGCTTCTTCTTCACAGATGTGATCAACTCTTGAAGAATCATTTTACTCCAATTGATATTGCTAAGATTGGAAACATCTTGCACAACTCGAAGAAAACCGCGCTTAACACTGAGTCCGGTAGTTGGACATAGGATAGCTCCCAACATGTACAAAATAAAACATGTTTTAAAATTATCATCACAACTACCATTACTTGACATCAACCTTGCCTTCAAATTGCAAAGCGTTAAACCAGACTCTTGAAAACCAAGGTCTATTGACAATTTTTTAACATCGTCTGCTATAAATCGATTTGTACTCAAGTCAACCCCAGTACAACTTAAACCCAAGACTATCTCAACATCTTTTGTAGTTATTGGAATGACCTTTTCATGAACATTCAGTGTACAATTTTTATAATCAAATCTATTTATTAACCATTCACATAAAGCATTATGAATGTTCTTGCACTTGATTTCAAGTAAGCTTCCCATGCCAATTCCCATGATTAAGGTTCTTTGTTCCGGAACTAGATTTTGTATGATGTCATGTACACCTCGGAGTGATGTTCTAGCTGGAATAGTTAACTGAAAATACATAGCACAACTATGATTAATCTCTAACATAAGATATTATGGAAACATAGTAATAAGTGATATCTCTAAATTCCATCACCAATGCCACATATTTCAAAGAAAGATTAATAACATATTTTAGCAGATTGTATTACAAATTTCTAGAATAATAAGTAATTTTATAATTTATATCTTTACATTACCTTGGCATTGTCATCTCTATTGTTTGCGATGTATTCAACTTTAGTTTTTCGATGACGCTCTTTGTACATTGATTTCTTTGTAGCGGATAGTGAGTTCCACTTAACTCGTAGAACTTTAGCCTACATAAAAAACAATAATAATTATCAACATAGTTCCATATTAAACAATAGACGCTACGAGAAATAAAAAGTTTGATGATACTATTGAGGCACTTATACATAATTTTATGTAAGAAAATATTATTGAAACACTTATACTATTTAGGCACTTTTTTGGTTGTACACGCACATAAAAATGATGAGAAAAGTGAAAAAGTTAGGGCGATCTTGTATTCACATTCAACACAGGATTTTTCCACATATGTGAGTGATGGGTGTGTTCCGTAGTAAAAGAGGATTTCTCATGACTATTTCAAAACAAAAGAAACTGGCAGGGTGCGTAAAATATAAAGGAGCAGACATAGAAGTTGGTTAATCATTTTAACATTGACTAGATAATAGACCATGGTCGGTGCACTGAGTCACCGAGGCAACACAGGAGTAAACGCAAACAAAGATGCACAGCTGATATTATATATAGTACTTCATCTTGGAACATGGGATTTCCTTTTTTGTTTTTATGAATTATATCATTTTCAAGTGTCCATATATCGTTTAAAATCCATGCTATTAACAAAACTTAACATAGATTGTGTCCATATCATTATTAACAAAACTTAAGCAAGGTAACTTAAATTTATCGTGGAAACTGCAGTTATTAAAGTCCATGGCAATATTTTTACCAACTTCCCCCAAAACCCAGAAATAAAATCTACTTAATCATGTGATACCATAACTATGGGTACTTGGCCACGAGAAGTGCTGCTGATTATATATTTATTATAAGTAGTGCTAAGTCTTTCTGCCTTTCTGTTTACATTTCATCCATAAATTAATATTATCATATTACCATTGTCAAAACATTCCATACTACAATTGAATAAGGAAAAGTAATCACAATAATATTATCAGCAAATTAAGGAAACATGCGGATACGACAACAATTATTAAACTCTTTATGGGGGGCGTTACCATATTATATTCTAAGCCAATCAATATTAACCTCCTATTGCAATTATGGGGTGCATTACCATGAATGACATCAATTATGCTACAATTCTAACCTCAGTGTTCCATTACAAAAAAAAAAAAAAAAATTCTATCTTTAAAGGAGTTTGTTTGCTTCACCTTGCTTCCAAAAGAAATAGAACGGAAATAACTTTTAGCAAATCTAGCAATAAATATTCACAAAATATGGTGAATATAAAAAAATACCTATAATAGAACATGCCTATGAGAGGGAATAAAATATACAAAAGATCTTACAAGCATAAAATCTCACACCATAATTTACTTACATCATTTATTTGCCGCTCATCCATAATTCACAAATTCTTATCCCAAGCAAGTACTAGTGGTGGTGGTGGAGGAGGAGACTTTCGTCTGATGTACTTTCAACATCCTAGAGGCAAGGGTCAAACAGCACATCGGATGAGGCAGCAGCTAGGATGATGGACCAAACAGAGACTGAAAGTGGTTAATTGGCTAGCTAGCTCCTATTCAATTTATTGTCTTCGTTATAGGCTGAGGGGAAAAAAATATAGATTGAACCTAATTTTTGTGCTTGATTAATAAACAAGGAGAGAGCAGCGGGGGAATTAGAATTTTGGATTAGTTGGTGGGAACTAGTTTCAACTTTTTTTGTCCATTATCGTAACTGAGGAAACAATAATGGTGGGGGTCTCATAAATACCTTCAATGAATCTGGAAAAAAGTTACCAGCTTTAGGTACTATGAATTCTTTGGCATAAAGAAATTCAAGCATTACTAGTGCATCGACCTTTCCTATTCTAACTGGAACTAATGGCTAATAAAAGTCACCTTGTTTCTTATCTCTTGAATTCTTAACCGTTTCAAATTTTAATAAAGAATTCTATCACAACCACGACACTTTTGAATTCAAAACTACAAGAAAGCCTATCCTTTTTTTTCTAATTTTGGGTTAAAATTAGCAAAAGTTCTACTTATTTGCACTTTTCCTGTAAAAATTATTTTTTTGTTGCAATTTCCTATTTTAGTTATCCATTCGACACTAGTACGGGCATAGATACGGATTAAGCAACTAGTTTGAGGAATAATATTTTTTATTATAAAATTAATTTGAATTGAATTAACAATTTGATATGTTCACAAAAAAGTGTAATTTTTTTTGTCATTTTTCAAAAAATTTTAAGAAACCTATATTTTAGCAATTGTTGTCATTGACACTTAATTGAAGTTCATTAAGAATAATTGAAGTTCCCATATCAATAGAACATTCAAATGTAAATATTCAACCTAAGTAACAAAATAAATGATAGCTAAACAAACGAAATATGAGTTCAATTGATCGTGTTCAAACTACATATTCTGTTAATGGTTAGTATATATGAAATTGTAGTTTCCATTTGTAGAAAAATAATATGCATTTTATATCTACTAACGAATAAATTACCTATGTTTTGAACAAATCAAACCTAGACTTATGGTGTGATATGTATATAGTTGCTCACATTTATACTTATGCAATCATCCTTTCTTCCACTTGCTTTTTAATAGTGCAAATTTCTTTTGATTATATTTAGGGGTGGTAATTTCCGATACGACCTAAAAACACGATATGAACCTAACACGAAATTAATGGATTCAGATTGAGGTTTCGCGGGTTCGGATCAGAATCGAATCGAATCCGACGAACCCGAAAAGACAACGGGTCAAATTCGGGTCAAACCGTGGGTGATCCGATACGACCCGATACCCTGTTTATGAATTAAAAATTATTTTATCAAACTAAACTAAGTTATTCTTTTGTTCCAAATGCATTAATCACTTAATCCTAAATGAATTTATTTAACTTATTTGAAGTTGAAATTATTATATTTGGACAAATAATGTATTATAGTATTTTTTTACTTTTATACTGCTTTAATTTATTTTATATTTGGTTTGGAATAAAACACTTTTATGCTGTTTTTAATTTATTTTAGATTTGGTTTGGGATTATTTATTTAAATTTTTATTACTTGATTATGTAATTAGTCTTGTGCGAATTAGAAATTACAGTGGTGAATTAATAAATTAAAATTAAGTTTTGGGTCATTCGGATCGTCCCGTCAACCCGACAACCTGAAATTTTCATATTCGGGTCAGATATCCTGACCCGTTTCGGGTTGGCAGGTTAGGTTCGGGTATGCGAGTTTTCTATTATACCTGGGTCTCAACCCGACCCGCCAATCTGATTTGGACACGATTGCCACCCCTAATTATATTGGTAAAAAAAATAACATATTTTACAAATTATTCCAATTTATTTAGGAAATGTTACTAATTTCATTAGAAATTATGAAATGTAATCATGGTTCATTAATTTTTTAATAAATATAAATACTACATACAAAAGGAAAAGATATTTGACTTTGTTTTACTTTGATTAGAAATACTTGTGGTAGTAATAACGAAATAGTGACAGGGGTGCAAATTTCAAATCAACAACCAACGTACACTTAATTACGATAATTTTTTTAGTTGATCAAACTAATATATGCCATAAAGTAGTAAGATTTGATCATTTATAAATTGGCAATTTTAGCAGTTTATATACCATTCACCTATAAAAAATTATGATTATTATAAAATGACATTTTATAATAATTTACATACTATTTGCCAATTAAAAGTAAGTTTGATAAAAAAATGTGCATATAAATCCATATTGTAAATGATACAAAATATGTTTGAAACTCACGAAACTTAATATATGGGTAAATTTACTATAGTTTTCAAAGATTATGCTGCATTAGTACAAATTTAACTTTTATACTTGTGACCTAGAAAATAAATTTATTAGAACATGTAACATTTATAAATGATACATACATTTATTAAAATGCTTAAACACATAACATTTATGAATGATCCATACAATCATATATTATACATTTACGTTACCAACAATTACTAACTATAATATTAAGTTTCAATCATTAATAAAAAAATCTTAGCATTATTTTAAATAAACCTCCTAATACTTGTTTCATATAAGTTTCTTTAAGTAAAATAGTAAATTTATGCCACAAACTAGTAACTTTTGATGATTAACCAAATTTACTATTCTATCAACAAGATTTACTATTAATCTATAAAAACTTACTATTACTTGAACTAAACTTACTCTCCAAAAAGTAAGTTTCGAATACAGAGTACTAATTTATTTTTTTTAAAAAGTAACTTTCATTTTTCTTTCAATTTACTTTTTAAGACATAAATAGGATAACACTTATATGACCATTTTTTATTTATTTTTTATTTACTTTTAGTAGCCATTTGATTATTTGATAGGCCTATCCACCTAAATAGGATAACACTTAAAAATAAGAAAGTAAGTTTTCTATCTAAAATAATAAGTTAACAGTAATAAATTAGTAACTTTTATACTTCAAAAGGTAAGTTGGAATAAATATTAAACTTACTTTTTAAATAAATAAATTACTACTTTATATCCCAAACTTACTTTTTAGCGAGTAAGTTTAATTTAGGTAATAGTAAGTTTTTATACATAAATAGTAATTCTTATTAATAACATGGTAAATTGATTAATAATCAAAACTTACTGATTTATGGGACACATGTACTATTTTATTTTAAAACATATTTCAAACTAGTATTAGGAAATTTATTTGAAATAACGATAAGATGTTTTATTAATGATTAATTCTTAGTACCTTAGTTAGTAAGTACGCATAATATACCTGTATAATACATGATTATAGGTATAATTTAAAAAATTTACTTATATATTTTAAATTACTATGAAAATTAGTTTGACTTTTCACATAATCTGGTAAAATATGTAATAAAATTTTGTTGTATTATAAACTTTTAATCATTTTTAAATTTTGAAAAGTTTGAAAGTTTGAATAACAATAACAACAAATCTTCCTAGTTATATATAGAATATTACTTGTTTATATATCAAAATTTTTATAATTTAACACCTATGAATATAATAAGATGATAAAGTTTTAATAAATTTAACTCTGAGACACAAGAAATAATAAGCGTAAAAGTCTAAACAAAATGAAAAATAATAAAATAATAAAAATGACAAAATTAGTATAATAATTAATATAAGAAAATCAGTATGATTTGGATTTTTTCCCTTGGGAGATTGTTCATAAGAATAGGATCCAATAATTATAAATGAAAATCACATGCATATATAATCTATTGTATAATTTATATTAAATTTAGTTCACCTATAAAATGGTCCTAAAATAATTAGTACACTATGATATATGTTATTTTAACAACAAAATTTTTTTTTACTAAAAGTCTAAAATATCCATGACATATGTATGAGGGATATTTTACCATATTTGTATCTCACATCTAATCATGAAAGTTAATTTGAGAAAAAATATTTTTGACACTAGAATTATTTTGAATTTAACCAACAAGTTGAGATTTTTTAAACAATAAAAGTGAAATATTTTGGGAACTTAGTTGTTTATTTTCCCATAATTAAAAATTTAAAATATGACAAATTATTCTTACATATTTTATAAGGTCATATGCAAAAAATAAAAAAAAATTCATAGCATATTTAAAATGCTTCAAACATATAAGATTTATAAATGATACGTACAATTGTGTATCATATATTTACATTGCGAGTAATTACTAAATATAATACTAAGCTTCAATTATTAATAAAAAAATCTTAGCATTATTTCAAATAAACTTCCTAATACTTGTTTCATATAAGTTTCTTTAAGTAAAATAGTAAATTTATGCCACAAACTAGTAAGTTTTGATGATTAACCAAATTTACTATTCTATCAACAATATTTACTATTAATCTATAAAAACTTACTATTACTTGAACTAAACTTACTCTCCAAAAAGTAAGTTTCGGATATAGAGTAGCAAGTTACTTCAAAAAAAAAGTAAGTTCCATATTTATTCAAATTTACTTTTTGAGACATAAAAGTTACTAATTTATTGAGTTAACTTACTATTTTTAATGTAAAACTTACTAACCATATTTTTAGGTACTATTTTATTTAGATGACCAGTACAACAGGTAATCAAATGGTCGCTAAAAGTGTTTTTACCTGCTATATCAGGTAAAAACAGTTTCGCTACCATAACGATCGTTACTTCAGACTTTTCCAAATTGATGTTCTTATTGGAATAGCCATGAGAGGCACTGCCTTCTGCACTGTCAATCCAGGCCTTTCGCTCATGTCCACATCTTCTGGTTTAATTCCATCTTCAAGCTTCCAATCAAAGTTATGAAGAAGAGAAGCCAGCATAAGATGCAGCATTCGCTGAGCCAGCGCGT